ATGGCATGTATGGTTGGTGAGTCACCTCATGCAATTCTCTTGCACTGATGGCTCACGAGGCCTAGCACGCACCGTCGGATCCACCTGCTTACCACGCAGTGCCAAGGCAGCCGCTGCATCGACTGCGCCTGCCGCAGCTCCCCCAGGACGCTACACAATGCATATTTGGTACATGTTGGAGATGCTATGTGTATAGTACACAGGTTTCTATACCATATAGCACATATAGCACATATAGCAAGGACCCGGGGGAGAGCGGAGGTTCAGCGGCTTGGCGCACTCTTAGAGGGGATTTCCCAAATGGATTCTATTCTACCTGAATCAAATCGTGGGGGGAGTTCAATGCAGGGAATCCCTGCATTCCCTGTATCTCTCTCTTTAGAGGGCGTTTCCCACATGGATTCTATTCTACCTGAGAGGCTCCTAGCACTCGTCCGTCCAGGAAATGACCTCGTCCTGCGAAGGATGTGAAGTCTAAAACGCTGCGTGCAGGCGTGTGGCTGCAAAATAATGACCCCTAGATATGCTTGCAATTTGGCTCCAGGTTGCGTTTCAAGCGAGCCAACCTTTGCAGGGCTAAGAGAAAAAAAACAAAAAACAGAAAACAAGGGGTCCCAAAAAAAGGGGTCCCCGAAAAAAAGGGAAAAGGGGTTTCCTTTGGCAAAGCTTGACATCGCTTGAAATGCAACCTGGAGCCAAATTGCGGCGCATATCTAGGGGTCATTATTTTGCAGCCACGCGCCTGCGCGCAGTTTTAGATTTCGAATCCTTCGCAGGACGAGGTCATTTCCTGGACGGACGAGTGCTAGGAGCCTCTCAGGTAGAATAGAATCCATTTGGGAAACGCCCTCTAAAGAGAGAGTCCTTCAACCGGGTGCTCCTCTCAGGAAGGTCCCTGGTGTTCAGCTACCCCACGGTGCACACGCAGCAGTCCAGCGTCCCGAACGGCGTGGCGGAGCACAACGTCACCGTGGCGCGCGCCTTCACGAAACGTTTGTGACCTTTTGGGACAACGACGCGGGCTCCAAGATCCACTTGCTGGCCAACCCGGGGCAGGACGTGGCCCCCATCGGCGCGGCCAGGCAGGAGGACAGCCTCCTGGAGTCGGAGCACTTCCACTTCCTTTCCGTCCTCGCGGGCACCTACGACGACACGGTGCGCAACATCGACATCGGCCGCGTGGGCCACTCTCCCCCAGCTCCTTGCTATATGTACTTTGTGTGCTATATTGTTCTGTACGCGCGTTAAAATACATTATATGTGCTACACAACGCATATTTGGTACATGTTGGAGATGCTATGTGTATAGTACACAGGTTTCTATACCATATAGCACATATAGCACATATAGCAAGGACCCGGGGCAGAGTGGAGGTTCAGTGGCTAGACCCATATAGCACATATAGCACATATAGCAAGGACCCGGGGGAGAGTGGAGGTTGTGCGGTTTGCCTTGTGAGACCCATATAGCACGTATAGCAAGGACCCGGGGGACTGTGAGGGTTCGGCGGCTTGGCGCCTGCCGCGCCTGCCTGGCATAGAAGCCCGGCATAGACGCCACGCCAGCGTATGCGCCGCGCGCATTTTGACACGGTTTTTGCATGGGTTTTGCATGGCGCGGTTGCATGACATGATTTTGACATGACATCTTGTCTTTGCATGACATGATTTTGAACATGTCATTTTGACATGTTGGTTTTTTGCACGGTTTTGCATGTTTGCATGTGCATGTGGTTCAAGCCCTAATGCCCCCCCTCCCCCCCGATTTTTTTACTGTCAGGTCATCCTGGAGAACTTCGCGGCGGGAGGTGGGGCGGGCACCTAGGTAAACGTGCCGAGCAGGCACAGTGCCGAGCAGGCACAGGCACCCCGGTGCCGAGCTGGCACCGTGGGGGTGCCAGTGCCGAGCAGGCACTTGCAGTGCCGAGCAGGCACTTGCAGTGCCGAGCAGGCACTTGTAGGAAAGTAGGCACTACGGCGCCGAGCGGGCGCCGTAAGAGTGCCAGTGAGCGGGCACCGTAGGACGTGCCGAGCAGGCACAGTGCCGAGCAGGCGCTTGTATGTGCCGAGCAGGCGCAGCGCCAAGCAGGCGCATGGAGCAGGCGTTGTGGGCCACTGTGAAAGTGACGTGCGCTGGGTACGTGCCAAGCGGGCACTTTTGACGTGCCGAGCAGGCACAGCGCGTAGGGATATTGGGCGACCCTGAGTACTGGCTCGCCCAACGACCCTTAGCACTGGCTCGCCCAATGAGTACTGGCTCGCCCAATGAGTACGGGCTCGCCCAACGACTCTGAGTACTGGCTCGCCCAACCTCGTTTGATGGCTCGCCCAACCTTGTTTGATGGCTCGCCCAACGTGGCTTCGATACCGAGCGCGCCACGCAGCTCATCGAAGTCGTGACGAACACTAAGCAGTCAAATGCTTCCTTGACATGGACAAAGCTCAAGAATGAGGGATTCCTTGACATTGGTGCCATCAATGTCACAAATGCGAGGTTCCCAGGACAGCGTGGAGGATCGTCGTCTGATCTCGTGGACACCCCGGCCGCACCACCTGCCCGGCATCGGAGCCTCCCACCCGGCCGCTTCGAAAGCATAAGTGCCACTTATGCTTTCCAGCAGCACATTCCTGCCCGGCAGAGCCGCGCCAGCCCGACGTGGAGGCTTCGATACCTAGCGCGCCACCTGCCCGGCATAGAAGCCTCCTGCCGAGCCCGCGCCAAGGTCGGGATTCTTCCCACCCCGACAGTTTTGGCGAACCTGCCCGGCATTGCACCTGCCCGGCATCGGAGCCAGCCCCACCCAAGGTCGGAATTCTTCCCAGTCCTCCCGTGGGGGAGGACTGCAGCACGCTTTTTTTGCCAATGGCTGCGAGGCCCCAGGAGTTGTCACCCCAGGATTGCCCTACTCAATCCTGTGCCCAACACAGGATTGCCGGTCTCCCAGAAAACTGCCTGACTCTAGGCGCAGCGTGACACGGCGCGCGCGGGCTCGGACCAGTGCTCCGCCACGCAGGGCAGCGCGCTGTTCTCCGCGTCCCGGTCGTAGAAGAGAAAGAGGCGGGTGAACGGCGCCTCCGGCTCGCGCGCCAGCAGCTCGCCCAGCAGGCGGATCAGCTGCGCGCGGCGCTCCTTCTTGGTGGTCCGCCGCGTCACGCCGGCGATCTTGAAGGCGTCCGGGTTGTAGCGCAGCGCCAGCAGCTTGTGACCGCTGCCGAGCGCCACGCTGGCTGCCATGTCAAAGTCCCTGCGCACGTCGTAGTTGGGGTCGTAGGCGTTGTGCTGTTCCTCGTCAACCTCCAGCAGGACGTAGCCCCACGGGGTCGGCAGAGCAAAGTCCGCGTAGGCGTGCGCCGTCTCCGACTCCAACCCGCAGCCGTGGAAGGGCAGGTAGTGCTGGTACTCGAAGGTGATCTGCGCGTCGCGGAGTGCTTGGCGCACCTCAAGCTCCTTACTCTTGGTCACTGCGCGCGGGTTGTCGCCGTGCATCGTTCGCATATGTCCCAGCAAGCTCTGCGCTCCGGAAAACGGGAGGTCTTGCCGAGGACAGCCCCGGATTTGACATACAAAATTGCTGCAGTCGCGGCACCTACGTCGCAGTCGCCCATGCTCGCAGACCGACGCGCCGCCGCAGTCGCAGCACTCAGCTCGCCTCCGCCCGTGCTCGCAGATCGACGTGCCGCCGCACTCAAGACACTGAGCCCGCTGTCGCCCGTGCTCGCAGATCGACGTGCCGCCGCACTCAAGACACTGAGCCCGCTGTCGCCCGTGCTCGCAGAAGGACGAGCCACCGCACTGGCGGCAGTACGCCCGCTGTCGCCCATGCGGACACTTCTTCACAGGCCGGCGCACAGGTGTCATTGCTGAACACTCTTGGTGTTTTCTCACACGTCCCGGCGAGCGGCGATGCAAACGGGCGCGCCGACAGGAGTCGAATTTTCAAGATGAGAGTAGAGGCAGCTGTGTTTAAAACCCACAGGCGCCAGCCCGCCCGCCGCGGCAGAGACCGCCGGAGGCCAGCAGGATGAACGCACCGCCGCACCACCTGCCTCCCGGCCGCGCCGCCTGCCTGGCATCGGAGCCACGCCAGCCCGCCGACGGGTTCGCCCAACGACTCTTAGTAGCTGAACTCTACGCGGGCATCAACCAAAAAATGGTTGGTGCCTGTTTCCAGTTCCGAGGCACTTCGAAAACATAAGTGCCACTTATGTTTTTCCAGCATCACATTCCTGCCCGGCATCGGAGGCTTCGATACCTAGCGCGCCACATTCCTGCCGCGCCACCTGCCCGTCGGAGCCCGGCCGCGCCACCTGCCCGGCAGAGCCGCGCCATGTTTCATATGTTATCACCAACTCCGAAGCAGTGTCCGATTATGTCGGACACTGGCTCCATCGTGCGCAGGTCTCGCTAATGACCGGCGCCACCGGTCAAATCAAATTGAGTCACATTGCAGCCACTTCGGAAAAAACCCTGGTGCGGGCCTGGTGCGGGCTCCAAGACCGAAGCCGCGGAGCCGGCCTCGCTCCAAGACCGAAGCCGCGGAGCCGGCCTCGCTTTGCGGAATAGCCACTGGACTAAGGCGTCGGCGAAAACATATGTAAACATGTTTGAAGGACCTGTCACCGGCAACATCCCGGAGGACCGCAGGGCAGCTGGCCCTGGCTCTCACGCCTTACGCGCAAGTAACGGACCTGGCGGTGAACACGGCAGCCTCCGGCAACAACGCGGCTATCCAGTCCCTGGACGACCGTGTCACCGCAGAGCTGGCCTCAAAGCTGGACAGCAGCGCGCTGGCGCCGGCAATTGCGCCCCTGGCCACGTGGCCACCACGGACGGCCAGCTGGCCGCGCACGGAAGCAGCATCGCCGCGCTGCAGAGCTCGCTGACCACGGGTCTCTCCAACAAGGCAGATCAGTCGGCCTTTGACGTGCTGGAAGGCGTGGTGGCTACGAAGAGCACCCCGGACAGGTCAAGGGTGAAGGGGGGGCTTAAGGGGGGGGGCCCGGAGCGGAGCCGAAGCGGAGCCGGAGCTGAGTGCCGCAGCGGAGCCGGAGCGGAGCCGGAGCGGAGCCGGAGCTGAGCCGGAGCGGAGCCGGAGCGGAGTCGGAGCGGAGCCGGAGCGGAGCCGAGCGCCGCTCGGCCTCCGCTCCGCCTGCGCTCCGCCTTCGCTGCGCCTGCGCTGCGCCTTCGCTCCGCCTTCGCTCCGCCTCCGCTCCGCCTCCGCTCCACCATCGCTGCACCTGCGCTCCACCCTCGCTCCGCCTCCGCTCCGCCTTCGCTCCGCCTCCGGCTCCGCTTTGGCTTCGCCGCGGCTACGCTCGGGCTCCGGCTCCAGAGTGCGAGGATCTTCCTGGAACAACGAGGCGCACGTGGTCTGCAACACGAGCTTCACGAATTTGTCGGACAGCAGGGTGAAGACGAGGTTGATGTGGCAGGGCTGCAGCAGCTCTTTGACTCCGTGGAGGCCAAGCAGCACAAACGCCCGGACATGAGAACCCAAGGCTGGGCTCCAGGGTGCGGCTTAAGGGGGGCTTCAAGGGGCCCGTGCTTACGAAGACGGATTCGGAGCGGCCGGCGCCAGCGGGTGGGTTGGTGGCGTCCGTGTTTCTGACTCTGAAGGCGATCTTGATCGATGAACGAGGTACCGCTGGTCAGCGGAATGCGGCAGACCCTCGAGGTGGCGGGGGAGAAGGAGCTCAGCGAGCTGGGGAAACACTGCGCGTCGTGCCGTGCAGTCACGTAGTTGGTGTTGCGAGGTGCTTGTGGGGCTGCCCGACGTGCTGCTGCCGGAGCGCAGCGTGAAGTGCTGGGGCTGAGTGGCGTCGTTCATGTTGTTGGCGGACCGGACGTCCTGCGCGGCCGCGTCCTCACTGTGTGTTCTCCAACACCCAGCCCGTGCCGTGCGCGAGACCGTAGGCTGCGCCGCCTGCGAGTCCCACGGCCAACCCAGCCGTTGCCGCTGCGCCGACTCCTGCCGTGGCAGCCAGCGTTCCAGCAACCTTGCCCGCTGTGGGTGCGAGGGCTGCTGCTCAACGACGTGCCAGAGGCCTGGGAGCTCTACACCCAGGCTCCATTATGAGCTGTGCTCGGGCAAGACCAGTTCCAAGCTGCTGGTGCGGGGCAATCCTGTCGTCAGCGCAGGATTGGGTGGAGCAATCCTGCGCCCGACGCAGGATTGAGTGGAGCAATCCTGTGCTTGGCGCAGGATTGAGTGGAGCAATCCTGCGCTGGCAACAGGATTGACTGAAAGGCAACTCCGGCGGCGATGCTGCAAGAACCGTGTGACTTTCCGGACCTTTGGCGCTGCGGCAATGGCCCGCGCCAGGCCCGCACCAGGCCCGCAGCAGGCCCGCACCAGGCCCACGCCAGGGCTTTTCGGGCAAACTTTCAGACCGAAGCCGCGGAGCCGGCCTTGCTTTCAGACCAAAGCCGTGGAGCCGGCCTCGCTTTTCCAAGTACAAAAACTTGTGTCACGGGGCGACACGCGCCGACACCTCGGGGGTTAAGCGCTAGCAGCTCCCTTGTTTCAGTGGTTAGAGCGCTGTCTCTGCACCACCCTGGTCCGGGGCTTGATTCCCGCCTGCGACCGGGCAACCTTTGCCCATTAATGAACCAATATTGTTTCAAGCTGTTTCAATATTGACCCAAACTTGCGAAGATTTTCGAGTTCTGGGAGTTCGGCAGGTTGCCGTGTTAGAGCCGGTGACAAAGGCGTTTGGCAGATTGGCGTATTAGGCGACAAATACCGGTAGGCTGCCGCGTCAGACCCGGTGACAGAACCGCAAGGTGGCTACGCCTCATGCTATCCTCAATGCTGGAGGAGTGGCTACCGCGCCAGGCTCTTCTTCGACTATGTCTTGGCCCATTGTAGCAGAAGGAGCAGTAGCGCCTGAGTGGTTTGCTGCACGCACGTGAGGCATGCCATTCTGGACGATCTTTGTGTTTGGAAGATACTGGCGAGCAATATTTCTCCGACCCAATTGAGATAAACTTGAGTGACGATGAGACCATTGTCTCAGACAAGCGTGAAGCCACGAGTGACTCCTGCATAAGCCCGACACCAACGGCCCTAAATGCTCCTTTTGTGCTTGAAATTTTTGCTGGCGCAGCTAGAGTAACTTCTTGTTTGAGAGGTTTGGGTTTGAACAGCAGCTTGGGCGTTGATCATGCAAGGAAGATGCCAAATGCCCTTTTTGATTTCCGACTTGACGTCCCAGGATGGTCAAGAGCTATGTTTGCTTTGGGCCTCCAGTGACCAGGTGCTGGGCATTCATGCAGCCCCCCCTGCGGGACGTGCAGCGCTGCAAGACAGATTGTGCTTCGTGACTCGTCAGGTTCCCGCATTCCGCATCCGGTGCCTTTGAGATCCAAGGATCACCCAGATGGGCTTCCGAATTTGCACGGTAAGAACAAGGTCAGGGTTGATGCAGCCAACTGTCTTTATGCCTTGCTAACAAAACTTTTGACCCTGTGCCATGCTGGAGGTTTGGTCTTTTGCGTGGAGAACCCTTGGAGTTCCTTGTTTTGGCAAACCAGTTTTTGGAAGTCCCTCGTTTGCCCCACGACTTTCACAATTCATCAGGCTTGTGCGTACGGCAGCCAGCGGCTTCCCGGAAGTTTCTCGCTTGTGCCCAGGTGTCAGTGACTCTCACACTCGCTTGCCATGGGGCTCTGTGCGCGGCGACACTGGAAAAACATTTGCAACCGCGGAAGAGACTGCATATCCTCCCCAGCTTGCTTGGGAGATTGCCCAGGCGTTTGCGTGCGAAGCAGTGGACCGTGGTTGGCAGCCGCCGCCATGCACTTTTGAGATGATGTCGCAGTCCAGCGATCTTCATGCCTTGCGTGCAATCACGGGCCAGCAGCCTCGTGCGTCCAAAATTCCACCTTTGACGCGCGAGCATAAACAAGTTATTGTGCTGCGTGGCCCATTGCGTGTCTCGCTGCCTGTTTCGCCAATGAGCCGCATCAAGGTTCCCTGGACAGCTCCAGCCGGCCTCGAGCCCGCTGGATCGGTGGTGCCAGCCAAGTCCCAGCTCCTTCGTGTGTCTCCTTGCCAAAAGGGGTAAGGGATGAGCTTGCTTCTGTTGCTGGTGAGCAGGACAAACAATCTGTTGAAGTTGCTTGGGGTGTGCCTTTCTCTCCTACCCAGTTTGTTGCAGAGGCTTTGAGGGTTGGTCATCCTCGAAACCTTGACCTGGTGCTGCCTGGAGCTTTGGCGTGTGTTGTTAAGACGCTTGCTACCGAGGGTCTTGCTCCTAAAGCAAAAATGCGTGTGGAGTGTCTCAGGCGTTGGACTGCCAGAGCAAGAGAATTGGCACCCGCTGAGAAATCCTTGAAGCGCAACATGCCTGATAATTTGAGATGCCTACTTGCCCCAAAACGTATTCTCTGTGGGAAGAAATGCTTAAGGCTAGTGGTTACACCGACTTGGGTGTTGTTGCCGAGCTTAAGGAGAGAACCGTTTTAACGGGAGGTGTCTCCCCCGCAGGTGTTTTTCCTGCTGCCTTCAGGCCGGCCGTAGTCAGGGAAGAGACCCTAAAGCAATTCGCGAGGACTGCCAGAAAGTGCATCTTGTATGCGACAAGGTTTTTTTGGCGACCAATCCCTTGATGAGAAAGTGTATTCCATGACATTGGATGAAGTTCAGTCGGGGTGTCATTAGCAGGCATTTTTGGCTTCAACAACCGAACAAAGTTCGTCTCATAGATGACCTTAGCATCTAAGACCTCAATCGACTGACGTTATTGGGGCCTTGGTGGTTCAGCTAATGCGGCAGTTGCCCGGGAGATGTTTGTTGGGACGGACCTATGACTTGAAGTTGGCCTATAGGCAGTTGGGTATTCCCTGCCTCCCGCCGGGCCAGCTACATTGCATGCGACTGTCCCAAGGAGAAAGCTGCCCAAGTGTTCAGGTTGAGAGCGGTTCCGTTTGGAGCGACAAGGGCAGTTTTCTCTTTTCTCAGGATTGTGCAGAGTATTTGGCATCTTGCTACCTCAATGTTGCATATCCCGTTGAGCGTGTTTTATGATGACGTTGTTGTTTTCTCGGAAGTTGACTTAGTCACCTCGTAAAGGCCTGGTTTGTGACAAAGCAGGCCTTTACGGGCCTCTTGGAACTGCTCGGTTGGCGGTATGTGATGGATGGATCCAAGAGCTGTGAATTCGCCTCTTGTTTTGATGCGTTGGGCATCACGATCGACCTGAGTGACTCTCGCATAGGTTTAGCTCGTTTTGCCAACACAAAGAAAAGGCGCGCGGAACTTTCCGATGTCTAAAGGGTATTCTTGCAAAGGGTCGTTTACCGAAGAAGGAAGCTTTGCGACTGAGGGGTCAAATGCATTTTGCTGACTCTCAGGTTTTCGGCAGGACTAGCAAGTTGTGCCTAAGAGCTATCTCAGATCATGCAGACGCCGTACGGCGCTTTCTGTCGTTTCTTGCTTTGGGAAAGCTGAGGTTTCTGTGTGCCCATCGTGAAACGCCTTGGATGGTTTTTACCGACGCTTCGTACGAACCGACAGATCGTGTGTGGCCTGCCGGACTTGGTGCAATTGTGCATGATCCCATGGGACGTGCGCTCGAGTACTTGACACATGGTCAATTAGAGGATTTAGGATCAAATGAGAAAATGACCGAGCTTGAGCTGATGGCCGCATGTGTTGCTTTCGCTACTTGGGAGAACATGTTTCAGGGTGCACCGGTCATCTTGTTTATCGATAATAACTCTTGCAGGGACGTTGTCATTGCAGCCCGCTCCAGGATGGGTCAGTGTCTTGTGAGAGATTTGTTCGAGACCGAGGATCGAGCCTCACTTCACTTGTGGGTAGCGCGTGTGCCGTCTCCACTCAACCCAGCAGACATGCCTATGTATCTGCAAAAGTAGCGGGGCTTGTCCAGGAATGTGCCAAAGTGAGAGTCGGATAAAGGGGGGAGAAGGTCTAGGATAAATTGCCAAAGTTTGCATCAGCAATACAGTGTGCAGCATCACATGCTTTGGTAACTTTACCCTTGTGTGCACCTGTGTGGCTGCAGAGATTCTTGAAGCGCCAGACCCCCACGCCACCGATGAGAAAAGATGTGCGCCAGGCTTCGGACGTTTCGGTGCCAGTGTGTTTGCAAGGACTTTCTGTTTGCCTTGCTTTCCTTCGGCCTTGTTTCTAGGAGGGTCTGACCTTTCCTAAAAGTTGTTTGGGAATTTTGGGCGGTTCTTTGGCTCAAAACTAAGTATGCGGTCACCCGTGATAGCACATTAGTTCGAAGCCAAAGAATGAAGTAGTTTTTCAAGCCAAAAATTTCCATGTGCAAGTCCTTTGCGATTGCAAGCATGTGTTGCCTTGAGACTTGCCCTTGT